AATCCTTTAACCCTACCTATACCTGCCCTTTCATTCTCCTCTTTTCTTATGAATTTTCTTCATAATTGATAAGAAAAAAGCTTTTTTCTCTTTAGTTAACAAAAAAAAAAAAAAAAAAATCTTTGTAATGAGATGCATTTGTAAATTAAAATGATGTATTAGATTGCAGTAGTCAGATTGTATTTGTCTTCTGGCTAAATTACTTCTTTTATTTTTATTTTTTTAATGGTTACTGATAAATGGAAGTCAGTCATAGCTTTGTGATCTTCATCAAAACATGATATTTAGATTAACAAAGTAGTATCCTTTCCTTCCAAACAACACTTGTTTGCTGTTCTCCTGTTTTATTTCATTACTATGATCTGGTATCTAAAATCAGACTTTTAAATAAATCACTGATTCTGTGCAGAGGAAGGAGCTCATCTCAAGTAAGCTTACAGAGATCAGGCAAGTTGCGGCAAAATCGGTCCCCCTTCTCTTCTTCCCCTCCTTTATTAAAGTGCTTTTAATTCATGCTGCAAGTTTAGTAGATGCAAGTGCTAATCTGTTGTTAGCTGTGTTTGGTTGTGGAGCAGGGGAACCGGGAAATCCCATTTCATCAGGGAAAACTGTCTCCTGTGTATTTTGCCATGTCACTTGTTTGTAATTCTAAGTGTAGCAGCATAATGATTGGTTACAGAAGCACTGGCTTGTTGGAAACCTGCATCCTAATTCACAAAAGGTGAAAGAAAAGCAAGAATTTTTGCTTTTGTAGCCTGGTCTATTCTCATTGTCTGCCTTTACTTATATTTCTAGTTTCATTCTTTATCCCTTTTTTTTCAAACTTTGTCTCTGTCTTTTACTAGCAACTTTTTTGTATGGTTCCAGAGTTCATGATAAAGCAGATACGTTATAAATAAATTTCTTCATTCCTAGAACAGAGTGTTCAAAGATTTGGTATACTGTTGCTTCCGGTAATATCTTCTGCTACCATGAGGTTCTCAAAGACATCATAGTGAAATTAAAGCCTCATTGTGCTTGGTACTGTGCAAATTTATGGGAAGAAACATTCCCTCTGGAGTAGTGTTTGATACTCTCTACAAGCATGTAATAAATTCAACCCACAATGAATACTTTTTTTTTTTTTTCTGTTAATATGGCTATGTGTCTCTTCACATGTGAATACGTGATTAATGTACATAAATTAATATTTCATCCATAAATGAGTTTCTAGTTATATCTACTTTATTTATTTATTTATATTTATAATGCTGAGCAGGTCTGTGGAATATATCTATACGTTTTATCTTAAATGAGAACAAATCTAGATGGTCTTATACACTGAAAGCCTAGAGATGTGAGCTACTGTAGCCAGTATTAGGGAGTGAATTGACAAGCTGCTCTCCTACTGGTAGAAATACTCTTAGGTAAAGTTTCAAATACGTAGAAATTATTGAAGGCTGTTGTCATTGTGTTTCTGGCTAAGATACATGTGCCCACGTGATTCAGGATTAGTCCTTAAACTAAACAGAAGCTTGTGCAAACTTTTATATAATTTCCTAGAATTATAATAATCAGGTTCAAATATAGTTAAGCCTTGACTACAGGTGCATTTAGTAATAGTAAACAAAGATTTCCCTCGGTGGCTTTGTATTTGAATTAAATATATTTAGCTTAGGAAATCTCCCTCTGTATGTGTGCACTGAAACAATTTTATTTGCCATGTCACTTACTATAAGTGTTTTGCATATCTGTTAAACTCTTCTCAGGAAGCTGCTAAAATGCTGCTATTTTTCCTGTATTGTAAAATTTGTCACAATAATATATTGATGACTGCTACTGTTACTGCTATGTATAGGTGTGTAAAGAATTGACGCATGTCGTAGAAATAACAACGATCTCTCACATATCAAGGAGAAATATTACTAGAGAAATATCTGGATCCAAATACGGGTTATGTTACGTGACAAAAATAGAAGAATATAAAGTATTAACAAGCATTGAGGTTATTCCATTATAGCCAATATAGCATAATATCATGCTATACCTTACTCTTCAAGAGAACGTATAATTTCCTAATTCCCACAAAATCTACAGACTAATGTTAAGATAGATAGAGACTTCAATTTAGCAAATTTTTGGCTATGTGCATAACTAAACCTGTGAGTAACTTTATAGGCCTTGTAACTTCTATGCTTTGTACTATGTACTATGGCTGGAATGCTTGCAGAAATAAGTGCTTCTAGTAATAATACTATTAGAATTTATTCACTTAGCTATTTGGTGACCTGTACACCAGGTCACTAACACTGAAGCTACTTCTTATTTTAACCAGCTTTTTGTAATTACCTTCTGCATTGCAACATGAACTTCATATGTCACCAATACTCGAAGACACAACTGTCACATGCCAGTGCAATCACTGTCAAAATATTCTTGTGAATATCGAGAGTAATGTAATCTATACAAATCTCTTTGGAAAATATTTGGGGCCAAATGTCTTCCTGCAGTAGGGGAAACAAATTGTCATTCTGCTGGTGCACAGGTTTAATCAGAAACGTGATTCAGAGTTCCAGGCAATGTTTGTACAAAACAATCCTAACCCTGGATGATATTCCATAGAATTAAAGTTGCTCTAACTGAATACTTAGCTCAAAGGTAATGAAACTGTTCCATATTTGACAGGGAATTATATACTGTACGTAAAATTGCAGCAAAACACCAATAAACAAACCTTTCCATTCTTGCTTTTCCTAAAATTTGAAATAAAGCTCAATTGCCCCTTCACTCCAATCCGCTTTTTAGAAGCTCTTGTTTTGCTCAGTCAGTGGTTTATTGCTGAAAAGGCAAAGTCTCTTTCAGTAATTTTAGGAAAAGCTATCATCAAGCTGTCAACAGTCTAAATTGAGATTAAAAGTATCAAAGAGAAACCTTCACTATTATCAAAGTCCCAGCTAAGTACACTTGAATAGGCAGATAACATCTAGGGTGTACAGTATGTGACCACTTATTCCTCCAGTTTTTGAAATGATTTACAGGGATGAAGTCTTATGCTAAATAGGTAGTGACATTTTTATTCTTGTCTTACCCAGAATTTCCAGACCAAAAGAAAACAGAGAGCTGTGAACACATACCTGCTCCTGGAACTTATTTCAGGTGTCATATTGCTGGATGTTAGAGGCATCCATCTCATCCTCTGAGGTATTAGATATCCTCAGATTATATTGGTTGTCACAGATAAGATCTCCAATCCCTTGTTTGTCCAGTGTGGGTAGGGCTGTATGTTTACAGTTCACTAAAATCAAGAGATCATTCACTTTGTCTGAAAGCAAAAGTTGTATTTACAGTATTACCTCTCTGAAAAGGAGGGTGCACAGTCACTGGTAAGAAAGTGAGCAGAGGATTTTCTAGAGCACTCTTCATACCTCATATATAGCATCATTGCTGTTTTGGCAAACCTGTCTGTTTTAACACATGATGTGTTCTCCTATTATATCCTGATTTTTGCCAAGGACTAAAATAGGACTGTATGGTCTGACAAACCTGTCTAAAATTCAAAGCTGGCCTTTGAAAACAAAAGCTTAGTATACAAATCTACTCCGTCACTTACCCTTGCACATTTTAATGTACTACAATCTGTACAGCTATAACAAAGATTTCTAAGTTCTCAAACAAAATATTGGAGATTTTCATCGTTTTGGACTTCTCCATGTTGTTCTCAAGTTTAGTTTGGTTAGAAGTTTTTTTTTTCCCAAAGACATTTTAGCCCTATCTTATGCTTTCATCTTAACTAGCCTTTGTAAATCTGGTTTTGAATTCATTTCATATACACAATTAATTAAAAATAATAAGAAATTTATGTGAATTGCTTTGAGTGACTTTGCAATTTGTAAGCCAAAATAACATATAGGAATAACAGGAATAGAAGATAACTATTCTAAGATTCCTCTTAAAAATTGTTATGAAATTCAGGAGTTTAGTTTTTGTGGTTTTTTTTGGTTTTTTTTTTTTTTAATTTCCTTTATCTTTTCTATCAGAAATTATCGTATAACTTTTAGTAGACATTGTTGTTTCTGAATGAAGCTGGGCATGTCACTACCATGCTATCTATCCAACTCAAACTAAATTTTTAAAATACTATCAAGATGATTCCTATTCATCAACAAGATTCATTATTTTCATATCAGCCAAGAATGAGATTTCACAGCTCAATAACTAAAAAGTAAGATGGTAAACATGGCTTTCCTTGGCTTTATGTTGCTCTTCAGATGAAATCTTCTTCAACCAGATTAAGACTGGTTTACAGAAAACAATAACTGTGGTTTAATGTTTTCAATTTAGAATCATAGGATCTTGAAATTTTTCTTTATTATGGGGGAAAAAATGAGTTTCTTTTCTTCTCCCTTAACATTTTCTTTTAAGGATTCTCAGTAAGTCTTCTTGATATTTCTTTAAGTGTTTTAGAAGTCTGACATGGGTTTTACCTGTTCATTATTAATCTAGATACTTGTACAACTTTTGAAAGTTATATGCATCATTCTTAAGAGATCCCTTTGCTTAGCTTACAGAACAGTGGAATTTTGAAATCTAGTTTTTGCTTTGTTTTGAAATGTATAGCATCTTATTTCAGCTTTCTATTTTCTATCTTCTTTTTTTTTGCTTGTGAACGTGTAAATTCCTTCAGGTAAAAATTTTTCTATTTCACTAAAAGGAATGTGTTTAATGCTGCCCAAAGTTTTCCTGGTTAACTTGGTAATTCTGTAAAGCAGTGAACTGTATGGCAATATTTTCTAGCAATGAAATTTAATATAATAGTGCAAACTTCTGAGTGCAGCTTCCTTGCAAGATTGAAACTGGTTTTAATGAAAACAAATTAAGCTTTCTTTCAGTTCTCAGTAGTCTTCCATGATTGGTGATTTTGTGCACCTGTATGTACATCAGAATACTCATTTACATGAATTGTCTCTGTTTACTCAATGACCTTTGCTCAAAACACTGATAGTATTTGTTTTATCACACAGGCCTCCAGCGATGCTGCCTCAATCTCTCCAGAGATGAGCTATACACCTCTACCTTCAGGATCCAGAGACCTCACCAATCACAGAGGTAAAAGCTAAACTTTATTGACATGGATTCCTCTAAGGTGGTAAACTTCACAGTGAAGCCCTCTGTATATTAGTTACTGCTCTATTGGTGCTTTACTAGAAAGGCACTGTGTTCTCTGTAATATATGAGAAAACCATACATTTCAAGATTACAGATTTTAAGTCATATTAAAGAGGAGTTAAAGGAAGTCTACTGGGAAAACAAATCTATAGATAATAACATTCAGTGGTGTTTTTTTGTGTGTGTGTGAGAAAAAACACCAAGAGGTTAAAGTACTTACATGTTGCTAAGTAGATGATTACATGCAGAGTTGGTAATTTTGAGAGAATTTGTGAAGTTTCTAATATTTGTAAAGAGACAGCTTTTTGGCATTTTAACAATTTAGGGCTATAATTTTGAAACGTTAACATGTTTTCATTGCAATAAAATGGGATTCATTCTTCTCTGCTTTTTAAGCCATAAAGGCAGATCAGTGTTCAATTTCCTTTTTCACCAGTAATTACAGCTTAAAAAGCACCTTGGACAAACTCTTGAATTCCTTCTGCATACCTATGGAGCACAAAGTTCAGGGAGCAGGTGAAAAATTGGAGCAGTCAGGAGGAGCACATTCCAAGCTCTTTCTCGTTTATTCTGAAAAAGAAGAAATGTATATAGCTTGCAATGTTTTTCAGCTTGAAATCAGAGCCACAACACTCAGTGTTTTCCACATTGCACATTTGATTAGATGGAGACTTTAATATTTCAAGTGTTTTTCAAATCGAGACTGCATAAATGATATGTTTAGAGGTAATTTTTATACTAGGATATCAGAATCGAAGTCAAACCTGTATTTTATTAATTAATGGTAACTAGATTTTAGTGTGTTTTCACATTCTACAGCATTCTAGATTAAGTTAGCATTAGCATATGGCTAATTATTTGAAAATTTGAGAAAGAACCAAGTCAGACAATGACTCAGATGGGAAGGGTGAGGAAAGTAGCTGATTAGAAAGTAACTTGTGCCAGAGCTTAGATAGCTACCAGGCTATTTCCTGGTATTCGTGTAGGTTGATATGGTGTATGGGAAATCGGATGTCCTGAAGGTGCTGTAGTGTGTTGTGTTCTGCCAGAGATCGGGAACAAGAGGAAGAACTGAACCCAAATCCTGCAAATCATAAGCCTTCGCTGTCCTACCCCTCCCCCCCACCATAAATACATATATAAATAAAAATCCCAAGGAATATGCATGCAGTGGCTTTGATTTCAGGTGATTTCTGGTAAGCATATCTACTTTGAGGTTGGATTTCTGCTGTTAGATTAAAGAGGTAGTAAGTAGACAATAAGTGGGACTAAAGAGTGTTATTAGGATCTTTAAAAATCAATTAAAATATATAATAATAATACATATTAAGATGCATGTATCCTCAGACCTGTTTATTTAGATAATGACAAATTAGAGATGTGGCTTCATGGCTGGCTTTACCATAGAGATGCAGCAGCTTTATGTATCAGAAGTTGTCTGATAGGGGATTGTCTTCTGTAGCAGTGTAGCAACATTGTTGCTCTAGTAGGTACTACCTGTGTCTATGGGTCTGTTTGGGTCTAGAGCTTATTGTTGTCTTCTCAAGGGTTTGAGAGTGCCTACTCTCTTGCTATGAAAGTGTAAAATAATATTCCTCCAATTACCAACTTTTTCCCCTTAGCTCTTTGCATAATTCTGTATTTCTCCTGTCTTTACTCTTCCCAGAAACACTCTGCTTTGCATGCTAAACATGTGCTGAAAATTTTGTTGATTATTAAGTACAATTATACATTAAGTGAACAGAGAAGTATGTATGATCCAAAAAAAAAAAAAAAAAAAAAAAAAAAAAATGTATAATTGGCATTAAAAGAGATGATGACATGCTCCAGTAAGTTTTAGAACTAAATATTATATATGCTTATATATGTGCATGTATTCATGAGGAAGTCATTAAGAAATCTTTCCAAAATTCCAGGTGTTGCAAATAAAGCTTGGAACAACCTACTGGCAGGGCTTATTAACTCCATCAACATCTTTTATACAAAGAAAAATGTCCAAGTTCACAAGGCCATAAAACATTAATTGGAGTCAATAGAAAAATATCCAAGAAAAAGTGAAATACTGAAATATGCTATTTTAGGTTTTGTTCTGAATATCTTTGATTATTTTTTTTCTTCATGAATGCTTTCAGTGTTATAAAAAGTGATTGAATCAGCTGCTGCACATGTTAAATATTGACTATTTTTGACCCAAAATGAAAAGAAGCATGCTGTATGATTGTATGTGCTTTCATTTGTCCCCAGAGAAACTTGCTTACCAAAACCTGAAAGGCCAGCAAATGGTTTGGAGAATTGCTGTGAATTGATTTTGGGGGTTTGGGAGGGAAATCAGGAACAAACTGAATGTACCTGAATGGCAGAATGTTACTTCAATAATTTTTACTATATGTTACTGTGAATTTTGCTCGGGGAACAAAATCATGTTCTGGTGGTGTTGCAGCATGCAACTTAAATCTTTTGTATTCATATATTCAGCATGTTATTTCCAGATGAATTCTGGACTTTTGGAGTTTACTGTTTTAACAAATAAAATTCAGAAATTAAAAAAAAAATCTCTTTCTCACTGTCAGAACCCACAGAAACAGCATATAATAATGCTGTATCGGTGTTGGAATAATGTCAGGGAATAATCACTATAAGTACTGCATCAAATGTTATGATGCTTGAGTGTCTCAGTGCATGAAGAAAGCAAAAAATTTAGAATACATATTTGTAAGCCTTAAAAAATTTCTCCCTACTGTGGGAAAATTGTTCTCCTTATCTTCCATATGCTGAATATTTACTCAATTCAACTTACGTTTCCTAGAAGAAAATGTATTGACTGTCTTTGCATGCTCTGGGCACCTGAGAGTAATATGACTTGATCCTTTATGAGACCTAATTAATGACCTTCTAGGCAAGTCTTCCAAAGTAGCAATTTTACAGCTAGCTTTATTATTGGTTTCTTTTCAAAACAATGATGGCAAACTCTGAGGGGCCTTTTTAAAATTAGTATTTTATATTTAATGCAATATTTATTTTTATTTGATTTTAGACATTAGTGATGTAGTTGTGTGAAATTTGTACATTTCTTGTACCCAGATTTTTTTTTTTTTTTAAAAAAAGCAAGTTTATAAACACCTCCCCATCCATGCTCCCTTTAAATATATATATATATATATATATATATGAAGAAGAAAGGAAAAAAAAAAAAAAAAGATTTCTATTGTACTAGTTTTGAAATTTACTAATGAAAGAAAATAAAATGGGCCTCACTTTTCTTCTTACTTGTCCGGATGATCTAACAAAATGTCTAAAAGGAAAGCCATTTTTTTAATTGTTGTAGAAATGTTTTTTTGGTTTGTATGCCCCTGGTACTCTCATCAACATCAATTGATTGAGTATATACTAAATCTTCAAATAGTGCTTTAAAATACTTAATGTAGTTAGAATTGATGGAAAATAAAATTGTAGTGTTATAATTTTGAGGATTGCATTCTTAACATGCAGAAAAATGCTGCTTTCTCTCCTCCCCAAGCTATGTTGTATATTCATTTTAAGTAATTGCTATGGTAAGGAAGTTTTTTTGTTACATTCAAGCATTCAGATTTAAGTTTTCTTTCTAAAAGGGCAGTGCTTTCCATTTGCTGGTAAAAATAGTAATTTATTGTTACCTCTTGAGAAGTAAAATTATGAAATAATAGAAATAATGAAAAATTGTGCTGAATGCTCTTTGTGCAAACAATATTTTATAACATTGTCTAGAACCTGATTTACTTGAAAACCTGTTCATTTGCCAAAGGTATTTGGTTCCCAGTAACGTTTTACAAATGGTCTTTTTTTCTGACATCTTACTTCTGGGAACAAGTAGTGGTAAGTCTGCCCCATGGGTTACTGGTAGAAGGAAGAAGAAGCAGTCTCCATTAAGAGCTAAGCCTGTATTTATGTATGTAGTTTTTATAGCCTTAGATTGGATTTATGCCAAGTTTTAATAGTTCCAGTCTATTTTGGCTTTTAAGAACTTCCTGAACAAATCCACTGTCCTGTTTTTTTTAAATACTTGGTTAATTATCTAAGCATTCTGATATGCACAGAAATTACTTTTTCTCTTTTATTTTCTCACTTGGAATTATGTGTACCGATATGGGGAAAAAAATATTTATTCTAAGAATATATTCAAATCACCTGAACGAAACATGTTCTTTTTCAAACAGTCCAATTTGAGACCAATTTGAGAGGTTGTTTTTTTTTGTTTGTTTTGTTTTGTTTTGTTTTTTTTTGTTTTGAACGAAAATGAATGGAAAAGAAAAGGTATCTTCCTGCTCTCAGTTTCTCTTTTCTTCTGATGAGTGTGGTGAAGAATTGTTTTGGAATGAAGACTTTTCGAAACTTTAGCATTGATGGACAAGCAAGAGCATGTAGGTGTGCAATCTGTTCTAGAGACTCCTGGACTTGGCACTCCAGTTTCTTCTTTGACTGTTTGTTTACTTTGCTATTGTACTCAGTGGATTTGAGCTATTCAATTTTTAGTGATGATTTTGTCTATACAGAATGCTTTCTGGCTGATTTTTATGGTATGCCATACATGCAATCCAGCCACTGGCTGTGTAGAAGTTATGTGCTGGGCCAAGGTAGAAGTGTACTTTTTTCGAATGCATAATGAGTGTCATGTGATCCAGATTTCCTAGAAGTTACAATCCAATAGGCATCTAAAGAGACTTACTACTTTCAGTGAATGGTGATGAAGATAGGAAAGTAAGGTTATCCTATCTCCTAAGGTTACCAAATACCAAGGAAGCTATTTGGACAAACAGAAGGAGTAATTGTTTGTGTGATGTGTGAAAGTTCCAAACTGTCCTCCAGGGCTTTACCTGTTCTACCAGTGTTTTCTCAGCATGATCAGTTTTTAGACTTAAATACTCTCTAGTTCATCTAAACTAATCACATATATTTGTCCTTCA